TACAGTATTTGTGTATTTATACATAAATATACACAGTACATATGTGATTGCAAACTTTTAGTTTGGATGTCATTATTATGCCATTATTATGTCATTACATTATACATATACACGCCTTGTTATAACAATGTAATTAGATGGATGACTTTAAGGCAGAGCAGAGTACAAAGTAACACCTGGTCAAATAATAAACACAGTATTGGGGTTAGACAAACCATTTGTTTTTTACCAACAAAACACAAGCCTCTCCTACAAATGAGCACTGAAATTATGATCGCCGAACCTATGGTTTCTGTGCAGTGTTGCCAAAAGTAAAATGTTACTATTTACCCCACCTGTGGGGCAAGTTGTAACAGACAGAGGGTTAGCTGTAACACATGTTTTAAAAGGCAGATTACACACAATTTAAATTCAGTTTACTTTAAATAATATCTATATTTTCTCAGTACCTAGCTCAATTTATTTTTATTCTACATAGCACAGTATGTTTACTTATTTATTGGATAAATACATTTGAACTTATTTGGATTATTATCCATTATTATACAATGCCTTTATTTGGAGTATTAGCAATAAAATATTTTTGTCTATCAAAAAAAAAAAAAATTATTAAAAATCATTTTATTAAAAACATTGTCAAAATTAAAAAAAAACATTGTGTTAGTTTAATTGGTGTTCAACAGTGTGTGGCTTAATTTTAACACCCTGTTACAACTAACCACACTGTGTCATGTTTTCCTCAAAACTGGCTAGCAGTCACTGTGTGTTTCTTACATCTTTCAAAATGGTTTTATCTTTTAGCCTAGAAGACGGTGATCACAACAATATAAGATTTCACATTCATACTTTCATAGATTTTTTAAATAAAAAAAATATTGACTATAATAAAAAATGGTTTCTCTTGTGTTTCTCATCCATATTTCACCAAACTTATTTAATAATTGCCAGGAAGACATCTGCCAACACTGTGGTGAAAACCTCGGAAGAATGCCATGATCAAGCCTGAGCAAATACCCTAAAACTCTGTTACATTTAACCCCACGTTACTTTGTGCTCTGCGCTCCCCCGTTGTGAATGTCTTCTTGTATACTTCATGTACAGTACAATATGTTTTATATTGTGTGTTGAAGAGTACAATTGCAAAGAAATATAGAAATGACTAAAACTAGAGATTTTAATAGTTTTCAGAAATCGTGATTTTACATTCAGTATTGAAGATTTCAACTGCAAAAATGTTGAAATATAAGACTTTTAGAGATGGTAGCAATCAAGAGATATAGTATCATATTCCAACTCATTATGTGCTGTGAATTTTTACAGCGTTAAAGGGATCATCTTCAAGACAATACTTTCTGTATAAAATGTATGTAAAATCTAGACTAAAATCAAAGAAGACAAAAGTTACATGTTTTATGTTTAGTAGAAGTGAATGAGTCGACAGAGAAGCTGACTTAAACTTGCTCAGAGAAACGCTGTTGCTGTCAAACATGGTTTACTACACTAAGCCAGTTTAATGGTGAAGGGATTGATCCAATAGGCCTATTGATAGAAGGTTTGTGAAGACATTTCATGCTCCCTTTTATTAGCATTTTCTAGTATTTTCAAAATATTTTATTATAAATAGTATTTTAATTTAATACATTTGAGCTCTCACACAGCTCTCCCACCTTCTACTTACAACAGGGTTTGAGGAGGTTATCAAGCCATCCAGCTGAAAAGACGGAGACGAAAAGACGAAAGTCTCTGCACGGGCCTGGCCTGAGGTAAAAGTGACACTCATCTGAGAGGTCAAATATTTCATACACAAAACATTTTTAAAGACATAAATGCAAACAAACTATTTTAAACACTGCTTGGTGACTACAGCTGACAATGCTTGATTAAAAGTTTTGAATGAGCACGTGACACTATTCAGGCATTATTCATTTAGTAGTCATGATGAAATGTTTGCTACTTGAAATAAACACATTTTGTATTATTGTTGGAATCTTATCAAAACATGATCTTATTTTAAACTGTTAACATTAAATGTAATTAAATACATGACCAGCACTTGAGCATTACTTAGGGTCTGTCAGTAGTGATCGCCTGCCTGATTTTTGTCAAAAGGTGGAGGTTGTACAAAATTTGATAGAGGTGGTCACCTCCCTCATACTTGTCTTTGCAGGAAAAACATCGAGTTACTGTAATAAGATGTGAGTGTTTCCAACAGTAATAGAAAATAGTGCTAGCTATATATATTTCACATGTACACGTTACAGGATTGATATGAATCCTTCTCTCCAACAAAGATGACACTAAATATAATCTTAATGCTTATACATATAAAATATCTTAGCAATTCCATGCAGAAGTCAACCTTGCCATAAAAAAAAAGTTTTCACCAAAATACAGAACCCGTTTTTTTTTTTTTTTTTTCGTCTAAGCAAGTATTTAACAGAACTTTAAAAATGCTCAAAAATGTCTCTGTCAGCTTTTTCAAACAATTACATTTGATTTACCAAAGTCACACAAGTGGCAATTTCACATAAAGGCAAAAATATTACATAAAAATAAAATCAATAATTTTTGTTCTATAGAGAGCCAACTCTTATCATTTTGATGATCATTACTTATTTTAGGTTGTGCAGTTTAATTCACAGAATTTCTACAGTATTTTCTAAGTATTTTCATTTAAAGTTCAAAATGTTTACAGAACTATATTTTTCTGATCCCATAACTCTGTGGTCAGTTGTTCTGGAAAATATAAAAAGTTTAATGAAGTGTTAAACAAATATTTTCTATGTGAATTCATGTTTTGAGTTTTTACTGCAAATGTCACATCCATAACACTGAAATTGCTCATATTTAAACTTATTTTCAGCTAAAATCTATATAAATAAGCTTAAAATTACTTTGTTTCAGTTTGTTACTGGATAATAATGTTAGTCTTAGTTTTATGTTTTACTTCATACATACGTCACATGACTAAATGTAGGCCTAATAATGTTATTTTGAGTTTGTTCTGTTAGCAATTATAATAATTTTCTTCAGTTAAATCAAAATTACTTGAGATTATCTAATCTTAAAATGACAGTGTTTTATTTAGTTTCTGGACAATAATGTTTCAGAATCAGTTGGTGTTGTATTTACAAGTTTATTTCTTGTATTTATGTAGATATTTGTGGTGAAAATACTGTTCCTTATTATTGAGAAGTGAAAGATTAAAGATTATAGCTTGTATCTGCCTGTCTGTCTATTATATATCTAGTTTAGATAGCTTGTCCAATATGGTGTTGGGATTTTGAATGTAAACAAGTGTTCTGGAATGCGCTGTCATAGAAACAGAAGAACGCAGGATTAAAAGTAGAAGACAGTTCAGAATCTCCTCATTGCGTCTTCTCATTGCAGTTGGTAATAGTAGTGTTCCCAGTGAATTCTGTTATTATGGCATTGAAAAGAAAGCGTTGTTCTCAAGACACTCAAGTGTATGATTTTCATACTCGTACCCCTCCAACATCCAGCGCCAATGTGGCTGAGAACCATTCACCTGTTGGTGTGGGTGAGGAGATTGAGATACAAGTGAGAAAGAAGAGGAGGTGGGAGAGTTTTGAAAAGCCGCTCTCCCTTTACGCTGAGGGTAAAGCCAGTCACTGTTTGTCAATCTGACCATGCTTTGTGTTCACTAGATCTCTGTACATGTACATATAGGCCCAGACAGATTCTGTGGACATGTTTTGCTATTTCTGCTGAGAATTTTGTTTAAAAAGTCTGCAGATTTATGAGGAATGATTTTGAGAGTAAAGTAACTAAAATCCAAACACATACAATAAAAAAATAACTTTTTGACTTGTTTTAGGTTTCTAACACAAATCTAAGTAGAACCAATTGTTTGGTAATCAAAGATTCTCATAATTTATCCACTAAAAAAGAAATCTTTACAACAATCTGAATTTTACATAAATCATTTAAATAATTGCAGATTATTAATAATATCTCTGAAATATAAAAATGGTATAAATATCAATATTCAATGGACTCAATAATGGGCATAACATGTGTATGATTCAGATTTGTTGAGGGCAAATTATGAGCATTCACTATAAGAAACCCAATTCATGTTTCTGATCACTAAGATGAAGTGTGTCTTTACACTTTACATTAAAATACAAATCAATTTTATAAGCCATTATCATTATCATTAATGCATGTCTTACATCTCTAAATACAGATGACAACCAGTGGATGACTTTTCTCTGTGGCCAAAAGAGAAAACGAAGTTGTCACAGCTCTCATGTGAACGATTTCCATCCTCATACACCTCCGATATCCATCACCAGCCTTCAGTCCACTGATGTTGCTGAGGAAAGTGAGAGAAAGAGGAGAAGGACTGACAGTCCTGAAAAGCTGCTCTCCTGTAAAGTCCAGAAGTTCAGCAGCAGCTCTAGTGAGGAGGACCAGACTCCTGATCAGATCCACAAGAAGAGTTCTGAAGGTAAATCAAGTGATTTCAAGTGAAGGCTTTTTGAGAATGTGTGGCCTTCTCTCATGATCCTCTTCAGTATGAAGTAGAGTACATTACATTAAGTTCTGTAAATATATAAATATATTTTTTAAAAGCACTCTAAAAGTTTCAATCACTGTTTGCTGTATTTTGAAGTGTCCACCATATCAGTATTGTGCAGGTTCATTTTCACGATTTATTGAATTATTGAATATAGTCATATGTCTATTCCACCTCAAACATTACACACGTGTCTGTCAGTGCTTGACATTTCACATCAGCTGCAAATATTCATCTTTTAACAGGTGACATTCTGGACCAGTATGAACTCGGCAAGGAGATTGGAGAGGGAGGATTTGGCAGCGTCTATGAAGGGAAGCGCTTGGAGGATGGCCTTGAGGTGAACAATCCCTTTAACATATATTATGTTCACTTTTTAGTGCACTTGATGTGATTATAACAGAAGTGTTGTTTTGTTGAGCAGGTGGCAGTAAAAATTGCCAGAAAGCCATCGAACATGAAATACATCCACATCGTAAGTAGACTTAAACATGTAAAGGCACTGACAACAGTATATTTGGGGAAGCAACATCGCCTAACTAATCTTTCTTCTAGGCTGGTCATCCTGAGCCCCTTCCTTTAGAGATTGGCCTGTTGATACTGGCTCATAGAGGCGGCAAGGTTCCAGAGATCATTGAGCTGCTGGACTGGCAGGACCAGCAGGATCGTTACATCATGATCCTGGAACGACCTTCACCATGTGTAGATCTGTTTGACTTCATAATGTCTCTCGGCTCCATCACTGAACGCCAGGCTCAAAAGATCATGGAGCAGGCAACAACGGCCGGTCTCATGTGCTGCAGACGTGGGGTATTTCACCGAGACATAAAGCTGGAGAACCTGCTGGTCAACACTGACACGCTTGAGGTCAAGCTAATTGACTTTGGCTGTGGAGCTCTTCTCCAGGAATCTGGCTATGACAGTTTCTGTGGTATGTATTAAACTTAACACCTGTAGTCTGGACTGTCAATTTGACCAATCATGTATTTTCATGTTACAGAGAAAACATGCTTTAGTGTTTCATGCTGAGACCAAATCTTGTTCCTTCAGGCACAAAGGAGTACTTCCCACCAGAGTACTACCTGGACGACGAATACCATGCAGAACCATCCACTGTATGGTCTTTAGGAGTTCTGTTATTCCTGCTGCTGTGTCAACGATTTCCTGAAGTCACGGACACGCAGAGGATCGATGATGGAAACTGGACTGAGCCTGGATTGTCAGAAGGTAAGACGTCATTCATCACATCATAGACGAGCAGTTGTAGTTTAAATCACACAAAATCATGGATTAAAACTAAGAGTTGGATATTGGATAATGGTGACAATGTTCTGATTCTAAAGGTGAGTAGAGTCAGATCTTATAGATGAATAAAATGACAGCAGATGTAAAGTTGAAGTTGATAATGTGTTTCTCTCACTTCTTCCCACCATCGTTCTGCACAGAATGCTGTGACTTGATTCAAGCTCTCCTGCAGGAAAACCCAAGCCAGCGGATTCCTCTGGAAGAAATCATTCTCCATCAATGGTTTAAGGTACGGAACTGTAGATCAGCTTCTAATGATTTGGAAAATAGATTCTCCTTTCATTTGAAAATGTTTTTTTATTGTACATTTTAATTGTTTATTGTGATGAATCTGAATCAATAACCTTGATTTGGTGTGTGTCTGTATGTTTCAGGTCAAGGAATAAGAAATAAGGAATGTAGTGCAAATGGATGGGAAAGATTATTTGCACTACTGAGCACCACAGTTCCTGACGCTAAAAGTTACAGATTCAACAGGAGAGCCTAAAAAAAGGACACAGCTGCAACAAAGAATCCTAAAAAAAGGTCACAGCAACAACAGAGGATCCAGAAAAAAAGATCAGGCCTCAAGAAAAGATCCTAAGAAGAGGGCACAGCCCCAACAATGAAAACATTTGTAAATAAAAACATGAATAAAATATAATTTGTCGCACCAGTCCTGTTGTCATCAAAAATACATCAAATCAGCCACGATACTGAAAAAGCAGACAGCAGTGAATGAAACACTTAAACACATCACTTGAACACCTAAACATCAGGACAGTTAAACACATACACACTCTCACACACACTTATAAACTGATGTGACTGTAAATGAGCAAAGTTTTGGGAAATTGTGAACAAATTTAGTAATTAAAGCACAATGTAGAAAAAAGTGGGTAGAGGACTGTGCAGACACTCTCTCACACACACATACACACACAGAGGCTTGAACATTTCTCTTTAAGAGGATATATAAGTAATGATGTTTATACTGTACAGTCTGCATTTTTTATTCTTCTACAATAACTTTGGGGTCATTTTCCTCTCAGGGACCAAAAAAAAGTTCCTATAAAGTGAAGATCTACTGGTCTGACATTTCCACATCTATAAGATTGAATAAAAATGTAAATTCAGACAGTATCAGTCAGAGGCCACTAGAGGACAGACACTAGCCATTCTGCTGGAAAAGCAAAGAAAATTGGTTCATTCCAGAACAAGTGTTGAAACTGCATAAGGCCTAAATGACCTTTAACCTTTGATCAGTTTTCCCTCAACACTCAGTTTTAGTAAATTATAAGCAGTGTTAAAGAAAAAGCTAGATTTACCCAGCGCTGAGAATGACCCAGAGTTGACCTTTTCGAGTTTTAAAATCCAAGACACAATAAACAGATGTAAGACTGTGTCGCGGGACCAACAGGATTCAACTAAAATAAAGTGGACAGAGTTTGTCGGTCATGCTGCGTACAATCTCAAAACATCAACAATCACACTCTTACGTAACATCATTAACTGTGTCATACATATAGACGTTATAACCTGATTAACTTAAGAAATAAACTAAGAAACTTTCCGTGTGTGTGTGTGTGTGTGAGTGTACAATTCTGAACTATATCTCAATATCCGAAGCATACAAACATCAGACAGCTACTAGGCTTTTCGCACACTTAACCCTCTACCTCATGGTTTTGCCATATGGCAACATGATATTTGTGTTCATTCCTCTGTCACTGTTTCTTTGAGACCAACATTGAATTGTTTTGGTTGGAAAGAAAAGACCTTAGTGTGGCCAATGATGTGTTTTGGTTAAGTTACATGACATGCAGTGTTTTTCTGTGACGTGATTTCTGGCAGACTGGCGTTCATTGTGAGTAGTTGCTGAATGCAAACGTAAACGTCAATAAAGACAAAGCATCAACTCATGTCAGATCAACAAAGAAATCTGTAACATTACCTCCAGTAAGTTACGATGACATATTCACTACTCAATCTTTTTTAATCACTTAAGTTTTCTGTAAAGCGTTTAAATGTATGTGTTTCCAAGTGGCAACACTGTGGAATAGTGGAATGTGCAATATTGCAATGGGTGAGCTAGCTAGCAAGGTCAGCTGTGAACTTTTAAGTTGCAACAATAACAACATGAATGCTAGTAATATATTGTTGATTAGGTGTATGTTAATGACATTTGCATTATGGATAAAATCTAGTTCTACTGGCAATACTACTTTTGAATAGATATGAATACAGGGAACAGTGTATTAGCGAGCACCACCATGTTCAATGATAAGTGAACGATGAAAAGGACAGAACTGGCTCTTCCTGTAGATGAAAGTGAGGATGAGATGGGTTTTAGTGACCATGAGAATGATGCAGACTGGTCATTTGGTAAGAGCAGTGATGGAGACAGTTCGAGTAAGTTAGCTCTGAGGCAGATAAGACAGGCGTAGTAAAGTATAGTGTAATTTATAAACATTGTTAGCTAGGGATGTAACGGTATTGTAAATACCGTCATACCGCAATATTAATTTTTTTCGATATTACCGAAGTCGCATGACTCGGTAAAACTATAGGTCTTCTGAGCAAATTTGCTCAGGTGAATGAAGCGAACAGGAGGTAGCAAAAACTACAATTCACATCAGCCCATGCTTGACCATCATCCCTTGCGGTCTGTTGTCGCTACAGATCCAGTAATGCGGAAATGGAGTGTGCTGCTAGAAGCGGGGATGAAAAAGAGCTGTAAAACTCTAAAGCGGGTGTTGTCGCCGCGCGCGTGCTGAATAGCGGTGTTGTCGCGCGCGGACTGAATAGCAGTGTTGTCTCGCGAGTTCTTATCAGCTGTGTTGTTGCGCGCGTTCTTATCAGCTGTGTTGTCGCGTCATATATCTCTTGTCCCAGAAACCTCAGTCCCAAATGAGAGGTTTTTTTTCTGTTGCAGGGGACATTGTAAATACCCAGAGATACCAGCTTTTACCAGATTATATTTATATGATAATTTTCCTTTAAACCCATCTCTATCTAAGTGAGTGAGTGATGTTGAATGTTGAATGTGATGAGTTTTCAACACTACTAAATTGAAACTTAATTTTTTTACATGGTTTAATATTTTTTTGTTATTAAAATTGAAGTTCCTGTTTCAAAGCTTACAGATAGATGGCTAATTTGTATGTCATTGACACTTTTGGCACTTTTTTGGAGTATTTTCATAAGTTTTGTTTTTTCCTGTAAATGATTCAATAAATACCGTACCGTGACATTCATACCGAGGTATTACCGTACCGTTAAATTCTGATACCGTTACATCCCTATTGTTAGCTAGTAGCTACTTTATTCTGATGTATCTGGATATACTAGACTTGTTATTTATTTGTTATAATATTTACTGGAGAAAATATTTATCTTTACTGTATGTTATATAAATGACAATAAATATTAGCTTTTTAGTAATATTAATAAAAAAAAAATTATAAATGTAAGCTAATGGAATACCAGCTGCTGGAATGTATGTATAAGGTGTCATTTATAAGTTAATAAAGTTAAAGCTTATAATACTGCAACACCGATTAAATTATTTCAAACAACAAAATTATTAATTATAAGGAAATTTTTCAATTCAACATTTTTAAGCTAGACCCACTGTTGGACGTTGTTGCCATATAGCAACATATCATTAATTACCTTTAAAAATATATATTTAAGCCATTTTAACATCAATTTTTTTAATAGATTTATCATATTGCGCGCAGTAGAGGGTTAAAGTACAATCTGTTCTTAGCTCCTTACCCAAGGCTGAGTGTAATCTCTGCAGTATTAAAGCTTATGATACTGCAACACCGATTAAATTATTTCAAACAACAAAATTATTAATAATAAGGAAATTTTTAAATTTGACATTTGTAAGTTGGACCCACTGTTGGAATTACCTTTAAAATAATCTATTTAAGCAATTTTAACGTCAATTTTGTTTATAGATCTATCACATTGCGCGCAGTAGAGGGATAAAGTACAATCTGTTTTTAGCTCCTTACCCAAGGCTGAGTGTAATCTCAGTAGTCTCATTAAAACTGCATTAAAATGGTACAAAATACATCCAAACTGGCAGCTTATGTACAAAGAAATTCACTTCAAAAGATAAAAAAGGCAAATAACTCAGGAAACAGTCGTTTCCAATTCTCCACTCAAAAGCTCTCCTCTGACCTGGCTGGTTAGATAAAATTCTTTGTAAGAAGTCTACATTGCTGTTTTCTCAGTTATTTGCCAAGGCTTGAGATGAGACTAGAAAATTGAAGAATACTGAAGACGTCGATCAATCCTTGGAGTATGGATGGAAATTATACATCAAATATAAAGAAACAAGAGACAGATGGTAAGGGTGGATTCAGGAGCAAGTCAAAATAAGACAGGAAAATAAGACAAACAACATAAAAAGGTCTTTTAGTGGCGATACCTTCAATACTTCATTGACTGTTTCAAATGCCAGTAGCGGATCTGCTGGTGCTCTTTATAGATAATTACAAACTTTGACATAGTTAATCAGTATGAGACAAAAATATTGAATAATACTCCAGTCTACACACTGGTCAAAAACTTCCAACTCATGTGTAATAGCAGCTAAAGCAGAGAGCTATTTTTCATGTCATTACCTTAAAATTATAAGGTTGTATATGACATTTTTGTCAAAACTGAGTTATTCACATATTCTTATTAAATGACAACTTATTTACATCATGGCATTTTATTTATAACTTCTCAACATTTTAAGGCTTTGTATTTAGAAAGCAAAAAAGGTTTATCTATAAAGTCGGACTCTAGCTTGACTCTAAGGTTCTTTCTCTTGTTCTTTGTTCTTTTATATCACATTTTACCTGTTTTTATGTTTTTTTTACTCATTTTTATTATTTGTTTTATTTTTATTTCACTTGTTTCTTTTATTCTTGTTTATGTAAAGCACTTTGAATTGCCACTGTGTATGAAATGTGCAATATAATCAAACTTGCCTTGCCTTGCCTTCAGCCAATCAGCATTTCCAATGCACGCATAAGAGCCAATCAGGATCAGCTATCTTTGTCATTTCGCCGGACTGCTCTGTTAACAATGTGAAAGACCAGAATAAACCACAAAATCAGAGTCCACTAAATAATGCAGCACCACATAAAATTGAGCAGAAACCTGGAACTGAAAAAGTGTGTAAATATGATGATTTAGAGGCGTTTTTGACATTGAGATGAAATGTTACACTTTACATTGTTGAAAAAGAGACAGTTATTAAAAAATGTAGTATTTTCTTTTCGGCTTTGTCCATTTATTAATCTGGGATTGCCACAGGCACGCGCCCTACTTGGGTTATTCGCACGAAAACAGTTAAAACAACATGGCACTTAAGATTTTAAGTACAAAATTCAGTAATTTGTTAAGAAAAAAAACATAATAAAGACATCGCTGTTCTCTACGAAGCACAATGTATAATTTCAACATAATTTATTTATAATCATTTTACTGCATTTTCTACTAAAATTCTTATTACCGAAACATGTCCATGCATGTTTGAATGTGTATTATGTTGTAATTTAAACAAATT